GCTGAAGAAGGCACCTGAGGCACATGCTGAAGAAGTTAGAAAAGATTCCAATTCTGTTATATTGTTGATAATTAGTGAGCAATAAGATTTAGACACTTGTATAGGTTTGTTGGGATGGAATGTGTATATATAATGACTGTATTTTGTTCAGATTTTGATATATGAATATATGAGAATTTACTCTCCAAATTTCTTCCATTTTAATGTCTGTCGTTTCCTTCTTCTTGCTCAGAAAGGTTGAGCTAATTTACACTTGATATATTACATTCTCTTATATATACAACGTGAAACTAATTTGCAAAGCAGAATAACAAAAACCAAAAGCAATCAAGATGAAGAAACGATAACGGTGAACATGGCCTGAGTAATAATGATTAACAAAAAGCACAGTTGGGACTGTGTAAATACTTGTTACATGGCCACAACAAAAAATCATTTAGTCATTAATATGAGCACTTATTCAAATCCTATTCAAGAGTGTCTGGTTAAGCTATATTTCATTGAATTAGAAACAATTGGCACAATAAAATTGCAAAGCTGGCGTATGATACTTTTGTATAATTGACTTTTAGAGTGTGTTTGATTGTCAATATTTTCCATGGAAAATGTCGGTTTTCCACCAAAATTCCTACATTTGTACTATTTGATTATTAATTTTTTCTATGTTTTCCTATTTTTGATCACATAACTATATTTTCCTTGAAAATAAGAAAAATATTTTTTTTGGGGGAGTAGGATTTTATTTTCCATGGAATTCAATCTTTTCAAAAATTCTAGTTTATCAACTATTTTACCAACACGTTCCCCTGTCTCTCTCTCATCTCCACCCACGTACAAAACCTTTACCCTCTCTCCTCTAATCACACCCACTCTCCTCTAATCACACAACAAAACTAGGAAGAAGAAACCAAAAATCTATACCAAAAAAAACTCAAACACAAAGGCTTAATTCTGTTCGTATGCCCTCTCCAGTTGACGGCTCTGTAATATTTGGGTTCTACTCTTAAGAAGAAACCAAAAATCTATACCATACAAAACTTAAAAACAAAGACTTAAATCTGTTCTCATGCCCTCTCCAATCGACGACTCTGTATTATTTGGGTTCTACTCTCTGCCGATGAGACCTTCGACGAGGTGAATAATTCTACGCACGCCTCTTTCCACGCATTCAATTGGAAATTTTTTAGATTTTGCATTATAATTATTTTTGAAATTCTATTAATTGATTCGTCAGATATTTCAATCTTGATTTAAATAGTCTTTATCTTCTAAGTATTTGGTTTTTTTACTATGTGAGATTGCGATGTTTGGAATCCATGAGTTTACCGATGTGCGCTTTTGCAATTCAATTAGGTACAAATCCTGTCGCTGAATTGTAATATATTATTTGATTCCTTTTGCTCTGGGCTTGAATGTTAGGTTTTAATCAACATCTTTTATTGGTGAAAGATAATTCGGATAATTTTAACCCTATTCCAATCGGGTAGTGATAGAATCGAGGAGCTGGAGTTTATTGTTCTTTTGCTTAGAAATTTCATTGAATGGTTTTTCTATTTCAATTCTTTGTTAAAGATAAACTTGCATCTTCTTAGATGCGCCTCGTACATCAAAGTAAGTTTTCCCATCGGCTATTATAGCATTTTGTTTCAATCCATTAGGTAGAGGAAAGCTAATTTATATTTAGATGCAATATTCAATACACCCCTTGTGTGCATGTCGAATTCAGTTATATATTTTCTATATTTGTGCAAAATTGGAAACGAGACTTGAACTCGGGTTTTTTGTTGGCTTGATACTGCTCAACTAAAAGCTTAAACTATTAGAATGAGAAACCATTTATTCAAATTTGTAGTTTGACCACATGGAAGATACATGATGAAAACCTTAGTATATTACAAGTTCACAACAAACTTATTTATTTAACTATGCAGCAGAAAATCACAAATAATACCAGTGAAAATCTCAATCTAGTGCATATGCAGGTGAAGACACCATTTTGAACACGTATACAAGATCTCCTGCTTTAATGCTCTTCTTCTTTCCTTGAGTTAGGGAATCAATATAAACCATGTTTTGTCCAAAATATACCTGCAAAATCAAGTGCTCAACTTAATTTAATAGGTTTATAGAAGAGCAGAAAAAGAAATACCAGCTATAAGAGTATAATCACATTCCCCTGCTGTTTCTTGTTCGGACGCAAGATTTTATCAGAACGGAAGTTCGTAAGAGTCTCGGTAGGCTCAGAGCCCGCTACCGCACTTTCTTGATTAATTGTGGGTACCTATGAGTTATGAAAAATATATATAGTTCAAGAATAGACACTCCAACATTCAAAGATAAAGATCAAGTGTTTGAATTCAGGAACTCATTCTACAAGGCTTATATTACCCCCTCGGAGTTAACAATAAATTAATGGTTATGAATGCATTGGTCACGGAAAAAAAAATTTGTCAACATAATTTTAATCAGTTTGAAGCATTTGTACAAGTATCAATCTAATCTAAATGAAATTTGTATATGCAATGTGTTGGATTAATGTAATAGGCCCAATTGTTGGGCTGATTTTTATTATGTACACTTCCTACTTTGACACAACTATTTAAAAAATGGCATCGCTTTGTTCCTTTTTATTTCATTTCAATCAATCTCTGTTTTTTTCTGCTATGATCAAATTGCTTGATCCCCAACCTATTATTTTGACAGTGCCAACTCTTTACCTTTTAGTTTTGTAGCATCTTGACGATAAAGATTTTTATCCATGTTTTGTTGGAAAATAAAATGTCATCCACAATATTAGGTTATTTACATATTGCTTATTACTATTACCATTTTGCAGGTATTAACATTATTTGTTGGAGCTCTATTGAACAAATAGATTGTGGTCGTTTATTTGAATTTGGTAGGTGCTTGTTGAAATTGTATAATTATAATGTAAATTCTGACCGAATGATTAAGTTTATTATTTATTTATATAATCATAATATGTAATTTATATGTTCATTTTATTGAATTTTTATTTATCGTGGTAGTGCTTAACATGACTACAACAAGGAATCAATGTCGTCTCCAACGAGAACATTTAGGTTTATTTTGGATGGTAATCATGCAAACAACTATGATATATAATTATATTAGTCGTTGTGAACGACATCTCCTTAGGGTTCCTCATACAAATTGGGATTCTGAAAGAGAAATAACACTTACACGAACATTTGGTACAAGTGATACAATATGTCGTGATCTACTTAGGATGAAAATAGGTCTGTTTCAAAGACTGTGGTTGTTTGCGAACTTATGGATTGGTTGGTAGTAAATATGTTCGAATTGAGGAACAAGTGGCTATTTTTCTGAATACCACTGGGCATGACCAACGTAATCGAGCTGGACGTTTCACTTTCTTTCTATCTGGTCAAACTGTGAGTTTTTACTTCGATCTTGGACTGTATAGCGATGTTGTGATTAATGCCACTATTCATAACTCACCATGTGAGAAGGAAAATGTGAAGCCATGGTACTCCTTTTTTCAGGTTAGGGGATTGTAGTTATTTCATTATATTTCTTAGAAGTTCAATATTATAATATTTTGAAAAGTATTCTTTTTAAAGGATGCTGTAGGGGCAATAGATGGTACACATATTGCTGCGAACGTCCCCTTAGAGGACCAAGCTAGGTATCGTAATAGAAAGCAAGTGATTTCTCAAAATGTTTTAGTGGCTTGCACATTTGATATGAAGTTTACATATGTGCTTGCTGGTTGGGAGGGATCCGCACGTGATGGTCGATTGTTACGGAGTGCAATATTATGCCAAGGACATTTGCTGGTTGGGAGGGATCCGCACATGATGGTCGATTGTTATGGAGTGCAATATTACGCCAAGGTAACAATTCCTTTTGGTAAGTTGTATCACTACTTTGAAAGTATTTCTTTCTTGTACTAGTTATAATAATTAAATAATAACTATGTAATGAGCAACTCTTTAATAGGTAAATATTATCTTGTCGTTGTCGGCTTCTCATTGGTTACGAGATTTCTTGCACCATATCGTAGAACTCGTTATCATTGTAGAGACATTGAAGGTCAACCTCCAGAAAGTGGCAAGGAGTTGTTCAATTTTCGACATTCATCTCTGCGTAATGTTATTGAGAGGACAATTGGTTTAGTTAAAAAAAGATTTGCATATTTGAGACATCAACCCTACCACAACATTGACATACAAGCAAAGATAGTCCTTCCTTTTGTACCATCCACAACTTCTTAAGGATTGATGACGTAGAAGATGTTTGTGAAGAGGACTTGGATAGTAGCGATGATGAGGTGAACCCTACACATGTTGATGTACTTGAAAATGACACTCCAAATGCTCACATATCTTTCACAGCACAGGAAACGTGGTCTAATAAGAGGAATACAATTACTGATTTAATGTGGGCTGATTATCTTCCCAATCAGAATATGGGAGTTGATTTTGATTGAATTTTATTTATTTATTTATTTATTTATTTATTTATTTATGTTCTTGTGTAATGGACATAAACTTGATATAATTTCATATTTAGTTATTGCTTAAATTGAAGACACATTAACATATTAGATAGAATTTTCTCATGTCTTTATGTAATGGTTGACATAAGGTTGCTAAATTTTTAAATGTAGTAATTGGAATTTTTGTTAATGGAAATATATTGTTGGCGTATATTTTTTACATGCTATTATGTAATGGTTGACTATAAACTTTTAATATTGCAATAGAGATTTCATGGCATATAATCGAAAAAACTCTACGGTGTCTTTTCGAGTTCCAAGACCAACCACCCATTTAGATGTAGAGGAAATAAGCTCAACCCATGTGGATCCTAATTCTAGGACCCGTCATGTACGTTGGAGTGATGTAATGGATGGTGGTATGATAACTGCACTATTGCATCAGTTGTTGACTGGTCACAAAAGGAGTGACAATGACTTTTCATCATATCACGTGTCTAAAGCAATTGAGAGCGTGTATAATGAATGTGGAGTTATGGTGTCGATAAGAATGTAAGGACATGATTGAAGACTCTAAAAAAGAATATGTTGAAGTTCGTCAGTTGTTAAATATCAGTAGTTTTGGGTTGGATCTTGACATTGGACGTGTTACAGTTGATTTTCCTGGGAGGAGTTTCTGAAGGTATAATATTTCATCGACCAATGATATTATTAGTTATTACATTTTCATACCATAGTTTCTTTTGGACGTTGACAATGCATATAACATAACCCCCTCTTTTTTTGTAGGGAAAACCACAATTCGGAAAGTGGAGGACCAAACTTTGTCCTGGTCATGATGATTTAGAGGCTATCTTTGGAAATGATTCTGCTACAGGAGATTGCGCTGTAACCAGCAACAACAATTTCTCCCCCATTCATGGTATGTAAAAGATAGTAAATAATAAATATATACTATTCATATTATATAAAAAGATTCTAACAAGTTATTTTTTTATTATATTTCAGATGAAAATGTGAATGAAGTTGACGATCAAAACGAGGATATGGATAGAAGCCCAATCCGCTCTCCGAAGCGTAACACAGAATGAGGAACCAACAAAATTCGATGTCAACGTACAAAATCCCATGATGAGAGCCTCATTGCCCTGTCGAGCATTGTCGAATCGTCTAAAAGAATTGTTGATGCTATAGAGCTAAATCACATCAATTGGCAATTGGTTCTAGAAAAATTACTAGGCATGAACATAGAAAAATGTGACATACTGCAAGTTATGAAAGTATTTGTGTCGGATAAGAGTGAGGCTAGAGTATTTAAGAGCTTGACCGATAAAGATTTCACGCGAGAGTTGGTATATGGGAAGCTTGGCCGTGATCCACCTCCTCTACTTCAAGATGGTGTACTTGGATAATTCAACACCATACATAAAACTGTGATGTCTATGTTGGTTTAAATTACTACTTTCTAACAATAGAGATTCATCGAACTTTATTAGTTTATGGCATTTTTTTGGGAGGCAAATGTTCCTAGATTGGTTAAAGCTCAATTTAGGTGGCAGATTGATGGTGAAACATTGTTTTAAATGGTTTTAAAGTTGTAATAATGGAATCTCTTTATATTTTGCTTGTTGGATTTTTTTATTAGAGTATTGATGCCTGTTTTGTTATTACAAATGCATGTTGCTACCATAATGCACCGTTTCAAATGCAGATGAAGGGGATACTTGGTTTTTTTTTTTTAACTTATAAATGGTTTGCACGTAATGCTTTTGTTATTTTCAATTCATTTAAAAAAATTTTACTTAAAAAAAAATTCAATTGGTTGGTAAATGTTGAATACATATATGATAAAAGTTGATGAATTCAATTAATTAGTAAATTTGTCTGGGTTTGTTTCCCTTGATTGAACAATTTTCATGGAAAAAGTGACAAGTTCCATGGAAAA